CCATGAAAATCGATCAAAATTTTTCTCATGAGTTGACCAGTACTCCAAGGGGAGCACATGTGGGTACTGTCTACAACTTCTCTCCCCCTTCCGCTGTACGGGCTGGTTGAACAGCACTGTAACTGGATATGGAGTGGGTGCCTCTAGGTGAATCACTCCTGGGAGCGCCAGCGGCTAGATCCCCCAGAAAGGGCAGAACCGATCGCGCAATCCTATCAATCCAGTAGGGCGGTGAGGCTGTGTATGTGGTGGGGTACCTTTCTCCGCTCTCGAAACGGAATTCCTTCCTTCCAACGCTATGGTAACCAGGGAGCCCTATTGTAATCAACTGCAAAGTGGGGTGGAAAATCTCTACCATTTGGTCCCAAAACCGAGCAATGTTTGCCTACTCCACCACACCTCAGGGTCAAACATTTGGAAAACGACACTGCTCGAGATCCCGAAGCTTAGCTGGGGAATTCCACCACAGTCTTCGTGTAGCCCTGACTTAGCTCTTTCCGATCGCCATCTAAACTAATCCCACAGCGGCCATCTTCTTGGTAAAAAAATACGATTTTTGATAGTACCTCAAAATGACCCAGCTGCCTTTCTGGCACAGAACTAAGAGGCTTCTGGAAGCAGGGCAACCACACATTGCGTAGTGATTGGCAACAAGTTGCCAATGAAGGTGACATATATATAGCTGATCAAAATTGCTTCCCACTGGAATAAACTTAATTCGAAAAAAAGTTTGAAAGTGTCCCAGAACTTTTGGGACAACCTAATATTTTGCGAAATAAGTTTAGGCCATCTTGTGAAGACATGTTAATTCCTGCAACCAAGTGGCTCGCCCAAATCATTTCAAGATTTCACAGGAGTTTACAGGTGTCACCAAAGTGTAACCTGTTAATTAACATGAACCAACGAAAAGAATAAGTGAAAGCGCAAAATGCCCCAACGGAGCCGAACTACCCAACTTCATAGAACGTATAAACGGTAAGCAGTATCCAGTCACGAATCATGGTTTTACAGTTCATGTACGCTCCATATCCCGTATATGTGGAAGGTATGCCTGCGTACAGCATTTCAACAGCGGCTGCGCTTTTGGTGATACCACCGTTGTGGGGATAACTGTAACCTCTTGTCCCAGCACAAAAACAGGTGACAGTTATCTCAAATGGAAATCGAAAAGTACGACATGTTCAAATAGAGTAGTCAGCCACGCCCTCCCCATCTTCGGGATAGGGACAGTACAACGAGTTTGGGCACAGGCATTCACGTGATATGCGAGAATGGACAGGTCCGGACATGTGGGCGTGGTTGTCGGGTATTGTGGGCGGTACATGAGAACTCCGCCCATCTATCAGATAACCACGCCTACATGTTTAAAATGATACCTATCCGGAATAGCGTAGCGAACTGAAGTAGGATGAAAAAAGAATATAACATGAATGAGAGCTGATCACTGGACCATGCATAGGGCAACCGCGCTACTTGCCATAACTCCACCTCGAGATAAAGGTAACCAGAGCTCTCCATATGAGTTGCATGGACCAAGGGATCAAGCCCAGCCCAGAGCAAGCAGGATTATCGTTCTCGTAGTCCACTAAGTAGTCAATAACAGAGCTGCTTGGAAAGAGTAGGCAGACAAGACAATTGCAAGTTGCCGCGTTGTCGCGCGCGGCGTGTCGTGCGACGAAGCGCGGCAAATTTCAGCGGGTGTTGGTTTGTCAATTGGAGCACCGAAACTTGTATGAGTTCACGCATAGACAACTCCATGACGGGCCATGTTAAACTTTCCGCCCCTCCAACGCAATCAACTGCTAAGGGCAGGTCAAATCGTCCTCGAGGCGCGGCACCTCTCGACACGCCCACTAGAGCAGCGTATTACGATTGTCTTGTCGCACCCCTTGTAAAGTGCTAACACTGCTGATAACGTCGAGTTTACACTATGATAGAGAAAGAGGGCGTTACAAAACGGGCACTCTGTTGCCATAACGCACTTGAGCCAAACTCGAAAGCATGGTGCATCACAGATGGATGTTTTTTCCTCCGCATTTGTATATAGCGCAATATTGGCCTAAGCAACCTCTAACTAGCCAAATTTTCATAAAGTCGTGGAAACACTGATGGTAAGAAGGGCTGATAACATCATATCGAAAGGGTAACAGGACTGACCTGATTATCAGTTGAGCGAAAACGAAGGTCTGTGGCGATTTTGCTAGAGATCAATAAAATCCTGCTGATTTTTGAAATTTTCCAACCGAATCGCCTCAACGAGGCTAGCGGTTACTAACACTCCACGTTCCCCCCCCCCACACGAAGTCGTTGCTAAATAAGGCCAAAATGCAATACAAACGATTTCCAAGTGCCTCCAGGACAAGAAAATCGAGAAGTACAGTAGGAGTAATGGCAAAAAGACAGGCATTCAAAAGCACGACATCTAGCTTACCTGAACACTAATCGTTGAACGATTCTCAGAACTCAAAAAACCAGGAAAGGCCATAATGTTAAATAGTTCAAGGTCCAAGGACGTTGTTAACATGATTAGCGGTTTCAGTGGAATCTGCTCAATTTAAGGCGCCAGATGCATACCATTGAGCATGCGATTTGCAAAAGAATGACAAAAACGTGCACGTTTCGTTGCAATCGATCGAATGGAAAACGGA